GTTAATTTCCTAATTCTTTAACTGTTCCTCTCCCCAACGTGGTACTGGATCTAACCCAGACTCTTGGTAAGCACTCTAATTATTGAACAACATCTCCAACCTTTTGTTAGTTTCTCTTTCTTTGCTTAAATAGCACAGTGCCATTCAGTAGCCTGATTTTTAGGAACTAAGATACAGTATTGAATATTGAGTACAGAAATGAAGTAGATGCATAGGGAAAAGCAGCTGTAGCCATCACAGCCATGCTCTGGGCTAGGGAGGGAGAAAAAAGGGATCCCTTGTAGCCAAATCTGCTGGCTCACTTCATTGCTTATGGCCAGAACTAAGTCATATGTTATATGGTCAAACATTTTGGTGCACACATTGCCACCTTCAACTTCTTAAGGAAGAGAACAATAAAAGGGAATAATATCTGCCTTGAATCTATATATAGGAAGCTCATAAATCTTAATTAATCCAAATCATATTTTCTGTCAGAATTGTATTTTAGTAGGTCATAATCTAATTTTTTGATATTTGATTTTCTCTTTTTAATGAGTAACACTTTTTATTTAATTTTTTGGTATGCATTAATATTTTTCCTTCATGTATGTCTGTGTGAAGGTGTTAGATCTGGAGTTATAGACAATTGTGAGCTGCTATGTGGGTGCTGGGAATTGAACCTGGGTCCTCTGAAAGAGCAATCAGTACTCTTTACTGTAGAGCCATCTCTCCAGCCTCCCATTCATGTTATTATTGTGTATGTTTATGATGTTATTTATGTTTTAAATATTTTATGTTTTTGAGTATTTCATACATGTTTACAATGTATTTCTAGCACTCAGGTGCCCTTTTCTATTTTATAAATTTTTCTTATATCTTACTGAGTCCAGTTCATGCTGACTGTGTATGTGCATGGGTATGTGAAAATCGTAAAAATATTTCTATTGTTAGTAGTGTGTATGATGTGTATGGGTGCCCATGCCACAGCACGCATATGCAGGTCAGAGTACAACCTTGTAGAGTCACTTCTCTTCTTCTAACTTTACTTTGGTTCCTGGGATCAAACTTAAGTCTCTAGGATTGTTCAACACCCTCTCAGCCATCTCTCTGGCCAAGTTGGGTTTTGAGAAAAGGTCTCATGTAGCTCAGGCTGCCCTGGAACTTTCTGTCACCCAAGGCTGGCTTTTAATTATTGATCTTCCTATGTCTTCATTCATTCATTCATTCATTATGTATACAATATTCTGTCTGTGTGTACACCTGCAGGCCAGAAGAGGGCACCAGACTCCATTTCAGATGGTTGTGAACCACCATGTGGTTGCTGGGAATTGAACTCAGGACCTTTGGAAGAGCAGGCAATGCTCTTAACCTCTGAGCCATCTCTCCAGCCCCCTACCTCTACATTCTTAGGTGTATCTTTTTTTCTTTCTGAGTGCCTCTCTTTTAACTTGAGTGCTTTAAAATCTGTTTTAAGATAATTTATTTAATGTTTATTTATTTATTTTTGAGTTAGAATTTCACTGTATAGCTTAGGTTAGCCTGGATCACTGTGTTACTATGTCGCCTAAGGTAGCTTTGCACTTGTAATTTCTCTTGCCTCAGCTTGTAAATAATACTAGAGATGTGAGCAACTATGGCTAGCAAAGTAGTTTTAAAAGAAAAATAATATGAGATCCACTCTTCTAAGATCAAATAAACATACAAAAATAAGAAAAGCTGCAGAACTAGAGCAGAGAACTCCTGAATGCCCTTCCCCAGATTTACCAGTTATAAACATTTTTATACATTTTATTTTCATTTCTCCCATACATTTTAAATTTGAAGTTTAGTCCTTGTTGTCAGGTCCCTAGCCTCCTAAGGAATTTTGGTGTTTTTATTTTCATTTTTCTAATATAAATGATATTTCACTTACAAAAAGACCCTATAGTTTATGGACAAATATCCAGAAACAACAGTGGAATCCGGGCCTGTTGCTTATACCTGTAATTTTAGCATTTAGAAGGTGGAGTCAAGAGGATAGCCATGAATTTGAGGCCATTTGAACTACATGCTGAGTTCTAGACTAGCCAGGACTCTGTAGCAAGGCTCTGTCGAAAGAAAGAAAGAAAGAAAGAAAGGAAAGAAAGAAAGGAAGGAAGGGAGAGAGAGAGAGAGAGAGAGAGAGAGAAAAGGACAGAGAAACAATGCCCATTCTCTCTGTCTCTCTCTCATTATCTGGAATGTGGATTTTGTCCAGTTATCCGTATTGGTCTTCTTAGGAATCATGTTTTTCTGATCCAGTGTTTATTTTGAGAGTGCTCACTGAATTGAGTTTTCCTATTTTTTTTAAAAGATTTGTTTATTTATTATGTATACAGTGTTCTGCCTACATATATCCTATAGGCCAGTAGAGGGCACCAGATCTCATTACAGATGGTTGTGAGCCACCATGTGGTTGCTTGGAATTGAACTCAGGACCTCTGGAAGAGCATTCAGTGCTCTTAACCTCTGAGCCACCTCTCCAGCCCAAGTTTTTCTATTTTTTTAGTTTTTTATTTTATTTTATTTTTTCTAAATATGGATGTTTTTCGCTTCCTTCTCTTTTTTTTTTTTCTTTTGGCTCTAGCAATTTTGAGGAGTTAAGGAGTTTAGGCCACTATTTTGAAGAATATCTTTCACTTTGTATTCCTGTTTTTTTTTTTTTTTTTCGTTTTCATGGTTAAGTTTGCATACTAGACAATAATGTCAGAAATATCCATCTCAGTGCACTTAGGACATATGATGACTTATTATTGGTGGCCATTTGGTAACTTTGATCATTAAAGTAGTGTGTGTAAGGTTTCTTTACTGGAAATTTTGAATTAAGACATTTTATAAGGAGGTATTTCAATATCATGTCCGTATCTTGTGGCATACTCGTAGTTGGTGTTCCCCTTTGTATCAATATACAAGAATCTATACCAATATATTTGTCTAAAAACAGTAACTCACAATTATAAATCTATTATCCCATCATCCCTCTTTTTTTTTTCAAAATGATCCCTGAGCTTATAAAATTCCTCCCTCAACCCTCAATCATATACTAATTATAATCAACCCCTAAATGATGTCCCTAAACCCAAGGGCAAACTTTACTGGGAGAGGGGACGTCATCCTCTAGAATTACTCCCAGGTGTCATGGGGGCGACGTTCTTTCTGGGGGATCCTGTGAAAGTAAAATGATGGTTAAATTTCAAGATCAATGTCTTTTAAAATTGCAAATAGTCTCTGAGTATTTTGTGCATGTCTGGCCAAAATGTTGTATAAGATGTGCACCATTTCAGCTAACCAAGTTGGAACTGTCTTGTGCAGCTGGTACCCAAAGCAGGTCTTGTAGTAGCACTATCAGTATCATGACGTCATATCAACCAGGTGGAGTTGTTATGGGGCCCCATCTTCTTCCTGGAAACTTCAAATGTCACTTCAGGAAAAACTCATTGTTCATTGTGAAAAACTTAAACATTAATCATATAGACATATATGTATATATTCACTGAAAGGCATGATAGATATATTCAATGAAAAGTATGATAGATATGAAGAAAAGCAAAGATGTTTTCTAAACTCATATTTCTTTCTGTCCCATATCATGGCTCTTGACATGAGACAGAAACTCCAGAAACTCTGGGTTTTTCTCTTACTAACAGGCTTGGAATTGGAGAGGGACTGAGCCAGAGTCCAACTTCAAAACCAGCTTTATAAATTTAAAAATATGGTTTAATATTACTTACACAACCCTTTCAGTTTTCTTGATATTTCCTATTGGGCAGGTATTTTTCCATCTGTCAGTATCCAAACATCCAGGGTCCCTTGAATTTTTCAAAGATGAGTGTTTTCCTGTGGAGATAGGAACAGAACCCTGCCCCCATTCTATATGTTTTTCTTTTTTTTTTCTTTTCTTTTTTTTAAATATTTATTTATTTATTTATTTATTATGTATACGATATTCTGTCTGTCAGGCCAGAAGAGGGCACCAGAACCCATTACAGATGGTTGTGAGCCACCATGTGGTTGCTGGGAATTGAACTCAGGACCTTTGGTAGAGCAGGCAATGCTCTTAACCTCTGAGCCATCTTTCCAGCCCCCTCTATATGTTTTTCTTACCACCTGTATGAATATCATCATTGTGGATGAGTTGTCATTTCTCCTTTCCAAGAGGTTTCTCCTCTTCAAATCGAAACTATTAATTTTGATGGTATCCACAATTTTTCTTCTCCTGTGGAAACAAGAGCAAAACCCCTTCCCCAACGTAGCACATCTCCTGGCTTCCATTGAGAGGTCAGCACATCTTTGAAATAAATCGGTTGATTTAGTTCAGCAGACTTTTCCATTATCCAATGTCTTTCTGCTGCTGTCGTTCTTTTCTCATTAGCGTTAAGAAAATTCAAGGTTAATAAAGCATTATGTAATCTATTTCTGGGGGTATTTTCGGTCCCTTACTGTTTCATTGTGATGGTTTCAACAACTGTAGAATTCATTATATTTATCAGTTGACATTCTTTTAATACTTTACATTTCCTTGTATCGTCTCTAATTGTTTTGATTGGGTTTACAGTTTTGCTGTCATTAGGATAGTGTGGTGGGCTTCAGTGTGTAGTTGTAGCTCTTTAAGTTGGTCCTTGTGTATTTTTGACACATCTGTCAGTGTTTGAGCATTTTGTCCTTTGGAACAATAAAATATTCGAGGTTTATCTTGTACCTTTTCTGCCTTGCCTTGGAATCAGCCCTTTCTCCATGAAGCCCTGGTGTTTCTTTCAGTGCATTATTTAAAGCAATGTACTATAACTCTGCTGTGTCCCTTGAGAGTAGAGCTCACTTGTCATATGACTTAACTGCCTTAAACCCCTGTTGTTACCTGGAATGAGGTAAAAATGATCCATGTTTTTCTAGTGCTGTCCTAGGATTAACTTAGACAAATCACTTAGAAGTATGTGTCTCAGTAAATGTGACATAAATACCGCCTATTATTACATTACTGTTCCCTCTTTTCCCTTTAACAGGATATTTTAAAGAATTATTGAAGACGAAGGTTTTTATTTTTGTATGTTTTTAATGGTTATGCAGAATATTAAATAGAATACAGTTTTGATATGACGGCAAAAAGTGTAAGTATTTTTATTTTTTAGAGATAACTTTTTAAAGTGAACTTATGCTGTTTTGCTATACATATTTTCTTAGTATTCTGGTTAATAAAATTAAAAATGTTGCTTGGATTAATAATTATTTTTGATTGTGTAGTGTGTGAGATAAACTTAATACTAGTGAATATAGTACTTTCGTAGCCATTATAGAATTTCTGTAGATTGGTGCCAAGCTTTTCTTTTTCAACAGCTGCAAATTACTATCTCTATAAAGCTTCCAATTTGGCTTCTTTTCTGGGGACTGTTAAAATTGGTTTTGGTTGCTAGAGAGTTACTTGGCCTTATTGAGCACATCTCTGCTTTCTTTGGCGTGTGTGTGTGTGTGTGTGTGTGTGTGTGTGTGTGTGTGTTAGTTCAGGGAAATGTGTATGCTCTGTTATTTGGAAGCAGATTGCTTCATTCCCTGAGGTATTCCCTGAAGACCATCAAAGCTTTAGATATGTTGGAAAAGTTATGTAAGTCCTTCCTCTGTTTAAATTATCATTTCTTTATAACTTTATTATAAAAATTCGGGCTATCCTAGGAGTTCAAAAGTAGGAATTTGGTAGCCCCACAGAAAGATCTGGACCAAACCTGGAGTCTGTCAGGAATTGGAGCAGTATATGTTTTCATCGCTCATCCTTTTCTCATGCTATCTATCTGCTTCATGTCTCCCTCCTCTCCCCTGAGGATCACCTCCCTTCTCTCCTGTGCACATTCTGAGAGAGATGTGCAGGAGGGAAAGAAGCTCTCTGACCCTTTCATTGTTGTCACTTCTAATTGCAGGCTCTTTAGGGAATCATTTCTTATGGGAACAGAGAACATGTGTATGTGTGTGTGGGGGGGATTACCTTTGCCTTTTAGATCATACTTATGGTCATGGAAAATGAAAATTCTGTTAAAAAAAGTTAAGGATCCATTTATGGAAGTGTATGTCTGTAGTCCCAGTTATTCAGGAGCCCGAGACAGGAGGATGGTGAGTTTGAGGCTAGACTAGTCAATATAGCAAGACCCTGTCTCAAAAACAAAACAACAGCAACAAACCGACTTAGTCATTACAATAAAATTCAGTTTAAGGGAAAGATTAAATATATTGATTCATTTAACTGAAAAGTCTAAGAGTTCTCTGACTTTAAATACCTCTAGATTTAGAGGATTGAAGGATGACATCATATACTGTGTCCCTGCCCCATCTTTTGGCTTATTTGGGTTTTGTAGTTTAGTTTATAAGAAAATAAGGAACATTCTGGTTTTGCTAATCAGTTTCAAATTCCGCATGGTTACCATGCTTAGCCCACAGACCTAGACTGGATGAAAGGAAATAGGATGCCAGAAGTGTGAGGCCTGGGCCAGGGGCCTCTCAGTAATGTTTCTTGCCAGAACTACACAGGATATGGCATGGATTTTTTGCAGAGGAGTTGAGATGAGGTACTGACATATATCCTCTGAATCTTATCATATAATGCTTACTATCCAATGACTCTTCTAGAACAAAAATTCAGGTATATTATAAGCTCACCTAGTATACAGAATAGGTTTTCTGTTTTTGCGGCAGTGTCTTGCTCTCTAGCCAGGCCAGCCTCTCAAACTCACAGTCGTTCTGCAGCAGTGTCCTAAGTCTAAGTGCTGGGATTGCAGGCATGCAGCGCCATGCCCGTCTTACAAAAGAAAATTTGACAAACAATCCACGGTTTTTTGCCTTCTTAATGAAAATTTTTTATATACACTGTAATTTTGTTTTACAGAAAATAATGAATACTCTTTCTTATCTTGATACTTCTGCACCATTTTAAGAGGCTTTTTTGTTCCTCATGGTATGGACAATATACATTTCTCTTATGTGTATGCTTTTACACACACACACAATCTTCTTTCCCTTTTTTTTTTTTTCTTTTTCGAGACAAGGTTTCTCTGTGGTTTTGGAGCCTGTCCTGGAACTAGCTCTTGTAGACCAGGCTGGTCTCGAACTCACAGAGATCCACCTGCCTCTGCCTCCCAAGTGCTGGGATTAAAGGCGTGCGCCACCACCGCCCGGCTTTTCTTTCCCTTTTTAAACAGAATAGAAAGTTTTGAGTACATTGCAAGGGGCAATGAACTCAACTGTAGCAAGAGTACAGTCTATAGGTTTGTATTTTTAATCTTAGCCACTTTAACCAGCAAAAAGTTGTATGTGATTTATTTCTGATTACTAGTTAGGTTAAATTCTATGTGTTTATTGGTTATCTACATTTCTGTTTGAAAATTGTGTATATTGATATGTTGGAAGCTATTGGCACCTAAATAATAACTAAAACTTAAATACTACTTTACCATAAAAATATGCACAATTATTTGATATAAGGTATTCATATCTGTTGTCTCCATATGTTCTTTTTTATTTTTTTATTTTTTTTTTTTTATTTTTCGAGATGGAGTTTCTCTGTGTAACAGTCCTGACTATCCTGGAACTCACTTTGTAGACAAGGCTAGCTTCTAACTCACTGAGATCCACCTGCCTTGGTTTCCCAAGTGCTGGGATTAAAGGCATGCACCACCATTTCCCAGTCTCAATATGTACATTTTATAGTGACGATTCCAAAATCGTCTTGCCTGTGAAAGGTAGATTTTACCTTTAAGTATAGATCATCTCATTTGAATTGCTTTCTATGTCAGAAATACTAAATATCAGTGCAGTATATAATGTCCTTATTGAGGAATACAATTGGATTGTTAAAATAGGCTTAGGGCTAGGCACACATGCTTTTAATCCCAGCACTCAAGAGGCAGAGGCAGGTGGATCTCTTTGAGTTTGAGGCCAGCCTGGTCTACAGAATGAGTTCCAGGACAGCCAGAGCCACACTTTGAAAGTCAGTTTAAAAAAATGAAAACAAAAACAAGCCAGTTGTGGTGGCATACACTGGTGGGATTTGTGAAGGAGGTGGAGACAGGAGGATCACAACTTTGAGACCAAACTGGGCTACACATTTTACAAAAAACCAAACAAACATACACAAATTAGAACAAAAATAGGTTTAGGTATTTTTGTTTAGCATACTTTTAGTGACTGCTCAAGTTTGTAGTACATCATTAGAATACCCAGTTATTATTCCATATTTATTTATTTTGCATTATGTCTATAGTGAAATACCCAGATAGAAGACATTTCTTAGTATCTAACTAGGCAAACAGTGTGACATAAATTTGTGAGTTCTTTTTTATCTTGTTCAATCAAATATTTTTTTTGTTGTTTTTTTTCTGAGATAGTATCTCACTGGATAGCTTATTCTGTATTAAGGTTAGCCTTGATCTTGGGTTCCTCCCAGTTCAGCCCCTCAAATACTGGGATCATAGACTCATATCACTTTAGTTCTTTTTTAATTTTAATAATCAATTTTAAAAATTAATAATTAATTTTTAAATTTATTTACATTGGTTTTGAGTGTTATATACATGTGCATACAGATGTCTCTTTAGTTTAAATTATAGGAGATTGTGAGCTCCATCACCTTGAAATTTTTTTTGTTGTTGTTTTGTTGTTTTTTTTTTTTTTTTTTTTTTGGTTTTTCGAGACAGGGTTTCTCTGTGGTTTTGGAGCTTTCCTGGAACTAACTCTTGTAGACCAGGCTGGTCTCGAACTCACAGAGATCCGCCTGCCTCTGCCTCCTGAGTGCTGCACCTTGAAATTTTGGAACCAAATCTTATTGTCTATAAGAGCATTGATCACTTCTAATCACTTTCTCCAACCCTTTAATTCCTTATTTGTTTATATGTTTGTTTATTTGAAACAGGATCTTACGATCCCTGGCTGTCCTGGAACTCACTAAGTAGACCAGAATGGCCTTGAACTCACATCACAGAGATCTGCCTCCCAAGCACTGGGAGTGAAGTCTAGTACTAACATCCTTTGTCCTAAATTCTACTCAAATAGGTAGAATAAAGAAAGAACATTCTGTTTTTTTTTGTTTTGTTTTTTTGTTTTGTTTTGTTGTTGTTTTATTTGTCTTTAAGACTGGATTTCTCTGTGTAACCCTGGTTGTCTTGGAACTTGCTCTGTAGACAAGGCTGGCCTCGAATTCAGAGATCCAATTACTTTTGCTTCCTGAGTGCTGGGATTAAAGGTGTGTGCCACTACCGTCTGCCTTTTTTGTTTTGTTTTGTTTTGAAACAGGGACTACAGAGTTCTGACTGTCCAGAACTCACTATGATACCATACTGACCTCAAACTCACAGCTATCTATCTGCCTCTGCCTCCCCAGTAGTGGGATTAGAGGCTTGTGCCACCAGACCCTGCAGAGAATACATGCCTTCCGAGACAAAAATATCGGACTTCTTGGAGCTTGAGTTACATTTGGTTATGAGTTGCCTGACATAAGTACTGCATAGTATACACTCTTAACCTTTGAGCCATTTCTCCAGCAGATCCTCCTGACTCTGCCTCTTGAGTACTGGGATTAAAGGCTTGTGTCACCACTGCCCAGTGAGAAAGAATATTTTAAAACGTTTTTCCTAGCCAAGTTTTTTTTACTTTTAAGTAATGTACTTTGAGGTTTTAAACTGTGAAGTATAAAAATAGAATTGAATATGCACTTTATTAAATGACTTTTGGTAGTATTTTTTATGAACTTTAGATTAAAATACCTTCCAAGATTAAAAGTAGGCTGTCATGTTGAGACTTAATTGACCTTTATCTCATTTTTAACTGTGCAATTAAGGTATGGGTGTACAGCTGCTTAAAAAGTCTGTGGGTTTGTTTGCTGCTTTACTCTTCATGCAAAAGCTGGTATGAAGAACAGGTGTTTAAACCTAACAGTAACCCAGTAACTGACATCTGTACTGTGAGTATGTGGTTTTTGTTGAGGCTTTTTTTTTTTTTTTTTTTTTTTTTGGTTTTTCGAGACAGGGTTTCTCTGTGGTTTTGGAGCCTGTCCTGGAACTAGCTCTTGTAGACCAGGCTGGTCTTGAACTCACAGAGATCCGCCTGCCTCTGCCTCCCGAGTGCTGGGATTAAAGGCGTGCGCCACCACCGCCCGGCTGAGGCTTTTTTTTTTTTTTTTAATGTTAGTTTTATAAAATAAGAGAAATGTAAAACAACTCTCCTAAAAGTTACTGTATGTATTATGTGGTCCTGTATTAAACATAGGGTGCACAGATACATGCACGCACACAATACATACATACATACATACATACACACACGTGTGCAGACAAACTACCCATATACATAAAATAATAAACTTTTTTTTAAAGTCAAATGCAAAAAGTTTCAAAACTTCTTGTTCTTTAAAATCTTTTAAGTTACTGAAGAGCTGATTTGCAGAATGGTGATGCTCATTTTAGTATCGTTTTGTATACTTGTAATTTGTTATGAGGATAGTTTTTTGGGGAGATAGAGTCAATTTTGAGAATTGAACCCAGAGACTTGGGTATGCAAGGCAAAGCCTGCTGAACTATACCAGCACAGATCAATATTAAATTAAATCTACTCAGTACACATACTCAGATATACAACCTACCATAAAGGTAAGGATTTCTTATTTAGCTTGATTGTAGTGATCATTTAATAATTTAGACATGTATCAAAGCATCAAGATAAGGACCAATAATTTGAGACCATATAATGTGTTCCAGTCAAATAAAACTGTTTCAAAGGTATCTTTGAAAAGCGGGTTTAAGTTATCAATCTACAAATTTGTAATGTTGAAAGTTTGCAGAACATTACCAGTTTGTAATATTATAAGATTATAATACTTTAATGTATAAAATATAATATATAGTAATAATAGGTCTATTTACTATAATATGCTTTGAGCTAAGTTGTTGGGGTTTTTGTTTTGTTTTGTTTTCTTCGAGACAGGGCTTCTTTATGTAGTCTTAAATGTACTGGAACTTGCTCTGTAGACCAGGCTAGCTTTGGATTTAGAGATTGAGCTAAAAGTTTTTTTTTTTAAATCTTAAAAAATATCATTATGTGTGTATATGATGCAGTAGACGTGGGGGAGGGGCTATGGGCTATTGTCTTGTGGAGGTCAGAGGACAACTTTGGAAGTGATTCTCTATTTTTATGTGAGTTTGAACTCAAATCTTCAGTCTTACTCAGCAAGCACTTTATGGACTGAGCCATCTTGATGGCCCCTGTTTTCAAAATGGAGATTCCCTTAAGCTCTGAAACAGATTTTTAGAGTTTTGATGAAAATTGGGTGTGGTCAAGCATTCCTATAATTTCAGCGCTCTTAATGTCGAAACAGGAGGATCAGAAGATTAATCCTCAGCTGTATAGTCTGAGGCCAGCCTGGGGTCTATGCAGCCTTATATCCACAGCAAAACCCAAATATTTCTTATGATACTACATTTTCATCTGTGATACCAGATAGCCTTGTAGCTATTAAGTGAAATAAACCATCTGAAGGCAGATTGTTTGCTGATAAACAGCACTAACTAGTAATGAGTGTTGACTTGGACTGAAGAGTGTGAGCCATGTACTATGCTGCATACTTAGCATTACTCATCTCCTTGGGTCTGCATAACAACCAGAACTGATAAGTCCTGGCAGCACATCCTAATTTGCAAATGTGTAATTTGAATGGCTTGACGAGAGCACATTAACAGTGGGCTTTATGAGCCAGTGCGGACCCAGACAAATGGGCTTGATGCTGCTGTCGTTGTACTCTGTGGTCATTCTTAAAAACATTGTAGAAGTGATTAAGAACATTAAAAATTAAGGGCAGCAATGAGGATATAATTACTCTTATTTTTATAGTGCTAGAGATCAAACCAGGGCATTATACATGCAAGGCAAGTGTTCTGCTACTGAGCCAAGCCTCCAGCTCTCAGGATGGAATTGTGATTTATCTGTTGGCAGCTGCTATATTACTTGTCTTCAAAATATTTAGAAAATCTGTGGATTTTCATAAGTAACATTCCATTAACTTTTAATCTAAAATTCTTAGTTTCCACATTTAAAACAATATGGTAAGATTTTCTTTTTAGTAATATATTCCTATGGATGATATAATTGATTTATTTCATAGTACTTTATATAATACTTGATACTACCTCTGGTGAAAAATATAAAAATAATTTATTAAGTAATGCTATAATACTTCAGATCCTAGTATTATTACTATTTTTTTAATCCAGGTTTGTTTGACATCTACAAATGCAGAACTGAGGGACTTTATAGATCAGAATTCCAGTCCAACAAAAGGTAAGGATTAGTGAATAAAAAATTTCTGGATTTAATTTTGTTGTAGTTCTTCTAGAAAATATACAATTATAAGAATTCTTTGTATACAATAGTTACATAGTGTTAGGTGTGTCATCACATACCAAATGAGTCATACGAATAATATCAGTTGTCTCTAGGAGGTGGAAGGTCTTTGTGTACAATGTTTCCCTATCTCTTTCTTTAGGACTTTTAAAACCCCTTTACCAGTGATCTTATTCCAATTGACACTGCTAAATCTATTTTTTCTGTACGTGGCTAAAGTTTTAATGCTTAGGGGGCTGAGCCAGGATGATTACTGAGTTTAAGACCAGTGTGGGCTTTATATTGAGTTCCAGGCTTTATATTGAGTCTTTGTCTCAATAACAAAACAAAACAAGGTGGGAACTAAGGAATTGATTATATGTGGTTATTGACTGATAGAGGAAGGAAAGATACTTTCTTCTGTGGTGTAACTACTGGTAAGCTGCCCAAAGAGAGCTAATTGGGAAGGGAAGGGGATTAATAGAGATAAAAGGGAGACAGATGAAGGTAACAGAGAGTCAAATGTGTTTGGAATATATTGTATATATGTACAAACTGTCACAATAAAATCTGTTATATATAATTAATATGCTAATAAAACATTTAAAAATTAAAAAATGTCTCCCAGTTTTTTACTTTCAAGTTGTTTAACTTGTAAGAAAGTGCAGTGGAGAAAAATGCAATAAATGTGTTTTCTAATAGATAAATTTCTCTGACTAATCCATGACTTACTAGGGCATACTTAATATCAGAAATCTGATTCACCAACATAAGAACTTCCTTGACAACTGCAACATCTTTATATACATCTCTATAGTATCTTTTAGCATGTAGGCATACATGAAATATTTATGGATGTTTGCCACTAGATTCAGAATAATCTACTGTTAGGAGGGTAGAATGTATGGACATTACAGATAAAGCAATATTCTTTGTAAGATGATTAAGTATTTAAGTTGAGTGATGTGGGATATCTTTTTTTTTTTCCTGCTTTGTAAATACTTGACATTTTCCATTGTATAGGGTAGGAACAAAATATTTGCCATTGTATTACAGTTTTAAGAAAAACCAACTTTCTTAAAAGATTTTGTCTACTTTATGAGATGTGTCATGGAGATTACTGAAGTCTGTACTTGGTATAAAAATACCTATCTTAATAAATAATATTTATAGTCTATAGGAATTACTGTTGAGTTTATGTGCTATAAAAGTATTTGAGAAATACTTTGTCTTGGTGTTTTTCAATTTTCCCCCCACATGCTGTCATATATAGGAATAGTAATGTAACATTTATTGAATGCACTAGGGCTAAAAAGAGGATTGTTAAAGGTCATAGGCGTTATACCAAAGAGCTGTAGCTCTGAGTGCTTGGATTAAAGGCCTATGCCGCCATGGTGTGTGTGCTTTTGTCTTGTTTAGGCAACTATATTGTTGAGGTATCACTGGTGTAACTTCCATGTTATTTCTATGAGACTAGGGAGCAGACTTCCCTAGCTCTTATGATGTTCCTATTCCCCCTTCTGTGATGTTTTGAGCCTTGAGTGCTGTTGTGTTGAATTATCTATCCATTGATACTAGACACTGTAATAGTTTAGATAAAATAGCGCAGTTCCCCAAGGGGCGGCAGTGGGCCGTGAGGGGTGGCCAGTCCCACCACCCCAGTCCTCTGTGGATCTCAGGCAGGTGAGAGACCTCGGTGGGGTGGGGCAGCCGGTTCCAAGAGGAGCTGCAATGGGTGAGAGACGGATAGGCACGCCATGCAAAGAGAGTGTTTGGGTATAGTTTATTCACTGGGTTGTGGAAGGGAAGGGGGAGGTGAATGGAGGGGGTGGGTGGGGGAGTGGAGAAGAGGCTGCAGCAGCCACCTCTTCAGAAGAGGAACAGAAGGAGAGAGAAAGCAGTGTAGGCTTCAGGCTAAAAGGGAGAGTGGGCAGGGCTTGTCTCTTAGACAGGACAGATCAGTAGAGGGTCATAACAGACACCCCACGATCAGTTATTTTCTGCACTTTGACCAGTCACAGTTTCACTTAATGGTCAATGTTACGAAGGGAAGCTTCTTTGATGAGAGCTGAGAGCTCCTCTCACCTGTGGGGATAAGGATAAGTAGAGTACAGTTAGGAATTATGCTGGCTTAGTAAAATGGTGGTTGTAGTTCCATGGTGTCATTAACCCCAGGTCAGGCTTGAAGACAAGCACTTTTACCTGCTTAGCCATTTTACTAGCCACCAACAACTCAAATCTTAATTCCATTTTTTTGTGATTATTTTGGTTTTTTTGTTTGTTTCTTGGGAGAATCAGCATCGATTCAGAACCAGTATCTGAAAATCTGATTGTTTTTCTTTTTCCAGTGGTACAGTTAACCCTTTAAAAGAGCAGAAGGACAAAGAAAGGCTAACAGTAAAACTTTTAAGTATTTTGTGGCTTCCTTTTTTTTTTTTTTTTTCCGAGACAGGGTTTCTCTGTGTATCAGTCCTGACTGTCCTGAAACTTATTCTGTAGACAGGCTGGCCTTAAACTCTCTTAGCTCTGTCTGCCTCTGCCTCCCCAGTGCTGGGGTTAAAGACATCTACCAGAACTGCGCAGTGTGACTTTTAAGTATTTTATCAAGGTCTTTCCTGAAAGGACACTGTCTCTTTTCATTCAAGGAATTCTGCTTCTACAAGCTGGCTCAAGTCTGGAAGTTAGTTCACAGATCAAGTTTCCCTTTTGCCATGATCCAAAGTAGCTTTTTTTTTTCATTTGTTTGAGAATTTTTCTGCTTATAAAGATCAAACAAGAATTCAGTAGGCTACTTACCTATTTCAAGCCTGGAAACACATGACTGATTAGCTAGTACCAAAGGTCCATATGAGTCAGGTTACCATGAAATTCACTTTGCTGTGCTGATCATTGTAGGTTAGGCTGTTATGGACATTGCTTTTTCTATCCTGCCCATTAGGATCACTAATATCATCTGACCTCTGCTACCTCAGCTACTGGAGAGAAGATTCTCTTCCAGGGAACACTTAGAAACCTTTAGCTTATTCTTTTCCTTTGTCAGTTTATCCTGAGATTCTAGAAGCAACTTATTAGCATCATCATTTTCCTACAGATTATTAAAAGTTAGTTGTGAATCAGGATAACCAAATGTATTTTTTTCCTTAAGTCTGTAAAATAGTTAATACCGGGGGCTTTCAGTACTCTACACACTCCCAGGAGAGGCTTCAGTAACTAGAGAGGCTTTGGTAACTGTAGGTACTTAGCAAATTGGAAAACCTATTCCAGATACACAAAATATTCATCCTTATACTTTTGTTGCTTTAGACCACTTCTGGTACCAATATCTATATTCTCTAGAGTAACAGAACTTAATAGAATGAATCCCTTTAGAAGGGGGATTTATGGAGCTGGAGAAATGGCTCAGTGGTTAAGAGCACCGCCTGTTCTTCCAAAGATCCTGAGTTCAATTCCCAGCAACCACATGGTGGCTTACAACCATCTGTAAGGAGATCTGGTGCCCTCTTCTGGCCTGCAGGCACACATGCAGACAGAATACTGACAATACTGTATACATAATAAATAATCTTTTTAAAAAAAAAAAAAGAAAAGAAAGGGGATATATTAGAATGATTTCCAGACTGTGGTCCAGTTAATCCAACAATGGCTGCCTGTGAACAGAAGGTCCAGGAATCCAGTAGTTGTTCAGTTCATAGTATATACTGAAATCCCAAAGAACTAGGCTCTAATGCCAGTGAGGAATGGACTTGCTAGCAAGGGCAGGAACATGCAGGCAAAGATCAAAACCTTCCTTTATATAGGCTTCCAGCAAAAAGTGTGGCCCAGATTAGAGGTGAGTCTTGGCACCTCATAAGATCTGGATTCTAAAGGTATGTCTTCCTCCCTCAGAGATCCAGATTGGAAGTGGGTCTTCTAATAGCCATAGCAATCACCCAGACTGTCTTTTTTTTTTTTTTTTTTTTTTTTTTTCGAGACAGGGTTTCTCTGTGGTTTTGGAGCCTGTCCTGGAACTAGCTCTTGTAGACCAGGCTGGTCTCGAACTCACAAAGATCCGCCTGCCTCTGCCTCCCAAGTGCTGGGATTAAAGGCGTGCGCCACCACCGCCCGGCTCAGACTGTCTTTAAACTGATGCTTTTCCTGCCTCTACTCCCTGAGTGATGAGATTACAGGCATGTGCTTACATGTCTGGCTTCATTTACTTTATGATATATTTAAAGTTTTATTTGTGCTACATGGAGTCTGTTCACGTATGTATGGTTTGTGAGTCAAAGAATGGGCAATTTATACATAGAAGTTGAAAATGCCTTCTGATTGGGTTTCTCTTCCCATTCTCAACCCTCTGTGGTTTTTCGAGACAGGGTTTATCTGTAGCTTTGGAGCCTGTCCTGGAACTAGCTCTTGTAAACCAGGCTGGACTCGAACTCACAGAGATCCGCCTGCCTCTGCCTCCTGAGAGTGCTGGGCGTGCGCCACTACCACCTGACTCTCAACCCTCATTTTTAACCAAATATATTTGTCTGCACTTCTGTTTTCTAGTTCTTTGAGTCAGGGACACTGTATTTTGTATTAAAGTTTAGCACATTGCAAAATCTATAGGTTGGTGCTTTTCTTTTAGCTAAAAGCCATATAATCTGTTGAATTTGCCTGGTTGGTCAAGCATGACCCTGTTGATCCCTCTATAGCTTTTAGAAAAATCAAAAAATAGCCACCTTTAAAATAAGGCCCACACCTTTAATCCCAGCTCTCAGAAGGCAGAGACAGGCAGAACTCTGAGTTTAAGGCCAGCCTGGTCTACAAAGTGAGTTTCAGAACGGCCAAGTCTACACCCAGAAACGTGTCTCAAAAAACTTAAAAAAAATTTTTGTAATGGAGAATTTCTAGTTATTTGCAATAGGATTATTCATGTTGTTGAGGCATTCAGCTTGGGCTGGGGGTGTCTCTGCACACATGGCCGGCAGAGT